GGTGCTGCTGCCACCGGAAGACCCCAAAAAAGGTACTATGCCTTTCTCACGGACCGGGTTATCTTTGTGCTAGTTGCAACGGGGACGACGGGCGTCTTTGGACAGGAGGGGCTCTCCTTCATCAACGAAATTGGCAAGAGGATTGTCTCAAGAACTCGACAGTCAAACGCTGTTACCTTTCTCCACCAAAGAATCTCTCTCGCAACTCAACGAGGAAATGTCCCCCCGATTCTTGGCACCCTCCTCCCTGAAGGAAAAGAGTTGGAGGAGGTCTACTACTTTTTCCCATTTTAAGGTTAGACAGTTAGATTCTACGAACTCTTGCTAAGTTAACTTTTTGTGGATTTTTCTTTATAATTTTTGATTGATTGCACTCTGCGATATTTTACTCATGCTAATAAACACAGACAAAATAATGCAGATACATTTTTCTTTGCGTGTTGAAGCTTTGTAGTAAGAATGTTATTTCATCATTCTTACGCTGATTGTTTTTATAAATGATAAGAAGAGTTTTATAAGACAAAATATCAAAAAAGCAATTTCTCCAAACAAATTGGATTTTTAATCATTCATGGAGAAAGCATGATGACAGGGAGGCTGTGGTTGTAATTCAAACCCATTCGTTCCGATCGTAGCACAGACGAGACAAGTTTAATTCTCAAACGTGCACATTACATCTAAAGTTCTCGAGAGATAGAATTTGCTCATTTAATTTATATGTGTGTAGCAGCAGGGTCGAAACTACTAGCTCATTTCACTTGTCTCGCTGTTATGTCTCCATGTCTCTCTGGGTTGGTAATTGGTTTTGCCTAGTTCTGTGATCTGCTGAGAGGACTCGATGACGAAATTTGGAATTAGACTGACCGACCGAACTCAATTAAGGAATGGTTCAAGACTAAAGTTATTGCTCGCTTTCACTTTTGGGTTCGTTTTCGCAGAGCGGAGAAAGTGGACAGGTGACGCTTCGTGGGTGTTGGATTGGCCACACAATCACCACAAGGGAGTCACAACACATGTGACAGACAGGCACCATGATGAGCGCAGAAATACAGAGTCGCCAAGTGGAAAGTCATCAAAAGTGAACGTAAACGTAAAACTAACTCAACTTTCCGAGTATATTTCCTCCTCCAACAACTCTCGTACGCTGTTGGACATCACTCAAAACTCAAAAGAAGTAAATCTACTTTTACTCCACCATCCATCCGTCCGTCCGTCTCTCCATCCCAGCGGCCTAACCCGGATTCCTTACAAACTTGGAGCTTTGGCTGAACAATACAAACCTCTGCGAATTGGAGAAAAGTTCCATCCACTTTCACTTGCCTCATTTTACAAGCCAACTCAACAGCAATTTCAGGAAAACGACGACTTTGTGGTTTGTTTTGAGTCCCGACAAATCCAGTCTCATTTCGTTTACTTCAAGTAGTACTAGAACGACCTAACGTTGATTGTCTAAACTTCTGGGTTGTCCTCACTTTTATTCGGTTAGTCGAGAAATATAGCAGATAAAACCAAGCACCCTCGAACCTTCATAAAATTCCTACAAATCACTATATAATAAGTATAGCATCCATATACGATATTTATTGGGTGGGGATATACACGGCACGCTATACTTTAAATTGTTGTTCAGAGTATTAGAGATTTAATGGTATCACAAAATGGGTAGCTCAACCAATACATGTCATAAGAGGGTAAATTAGAAGAGGAGAACACAATGAATCCGGATCAATAAAAACATTGGTTTAAATTTCTTTACAATTTTGAATCCAACCCAATTCAAAACAAGAATCCAAGATACTTTTGTTGCGCGAATTTGCAGTTGACAAATAAATGGTGGTTCAAATTGCCACTTACTTTCTCCTCCTCTGATAGTGTCTGTAGCTTCAAATTGCTTCTTGAATTTTCAAAATGAGCAGGCTGCTATAGACTTTGAATTGTCCAATCCAATCTTGCCTCGTGACATGTGTCTTATTATTAACTTGGCATCGATAGAATTTAAAATGAGAATATCCAATATCATAAAACTCCTTGAACAAGTCAATTAAGGTCATAAAACGACGGCTTCATTTTGCTTTTTCCCGATACACAGGAAATAATCCGGATGTAATTCAACCCAATTCCAAACAGAGAGGTTAAGATCGAGTATTGCAAAAAACACCGCATGCAAACGAATCTAGCTAGAGGGACATTAAACTCACCGATCAATAGGGGTTTATTCTTCGCTAGACTCTATCCTTAAATTTTTTGACTGGGTTAAACAGACTAGACGAAAATAAGTAAACGAAAAAAACGACCCTGCGATACGTAGAGATAGAAAATATTCTCCTCACATACACTTCAAAGGTCTCCACCACCACTTGCACCGCCATGACTGCAAAAAATTCTAATCAGATGCAATCTAGTTGCCAAGTGTGATAAATCAGCAGACCCAAGCAGAAATAGTTTTGGGCTGCTTCTTGACGGTGTCCTTGGATTAAACACACTGAGAGTTTGCATATTCTCAGAATAGCTTGAGACCCTATGCAAACGATCAAATATTCAGGATCTCTCACAGCTACTTTCAGGAGTTCTTTATCATATTTGAAGTGTGCAATCAAAGTTACTTTCGTGCAAATTACTTTAACTACTGAGGTTTACTGTACAACTATGGCGATTGAATGGGAAAAACATTATTATCAAGGCCAGACGAAGTAAATTTTTCGAAAGGATGGGTCATGTTGACATTTGCACGTTGTGCTAAGCAATCCATTTGGCCAGTATCAAGTGTCCCCAGGAACTCACCACCAGTTACGTTCAATCGTAAGAGAAGTGAAAGCACGTTCTTCACTTTAGCTAATAAAAATGCAACGAATGCATTTAAATGAGGTTGGTAGTGGCTTTTCTCCAAAATCTGGGATTCAACTGCAATGCATTTTCTATTTTCTTTGACACGTTTCGTGCCATAGCCAGAGTGTCGTCGTTTAAGATGCATCACTCCAACTCCCCCACCACTTTCTTTCTCTCTCTCTCACTTTACGTAAGCCTTTCCAACAACACGGAATAGTTTCTATTTTTCTAGATGCTATTTCAAACCTTCAAAAAATACTAACAAGGGTTTAAGAGCAGCAGGAAGGAGCACGCAAGTTCATGCTTTCTGTGTCTCCCACAAGTTCAAAGTGTTGACTTAAGTCGAGTTTTTATGACTAAAAAGCATTTACATATTATTTAGAAATGTTAGTTTTTGTATATCTACATATATGCACATTTTCAAAGTAGATGTTTAGTTGGAGGGAAAAAGTTATGATAGTCGTTGCACAAAATATTGAATATCTTTGTATAAAAATGTAGGTGCATTTTGATTTGCCTCCCACAACACTTTCTCCACCAAGGTGATATTTATAACAAATTTCAGCTACCGCAACATCCGTCCAATCTCGTGCAATGCATCGTTTTTACTGAATGAGTCGAGAATAGTTGGAGAATCCAGAACGACACATTTTTCAAGGACAAAGAAGAAGGAAAAAGAAGGGTCTGCGACACGGATCGAGGGACATGGATGAAAGATGAAAGAAGATTGTATTTTCTGGTTCGAATCATGAAAAGTTGACATAGCTCTGACACTTGAGTTTTGTCTGCCTCCTTGCCGCAGTTAAAGATTTAGCGTTGTCGCCCGTTGATACCCTTATCATTTTCTAGCGTGAACGCTTTCTTTTGCTGCACCCAAAATTTCAGAAATTTATTCTGAATCAAATTCTCCAATATTTAAACTAAATTAAATGTTGTAATATTACGCAACCATATTATTTTGATAAATATATAAAGAAATAAGAATACTAAATTTGCTTTAGATAATTGGATGGAGGAAGGTTTATTAATTTCTGTAGTAAACAAATATTCCACGTCAAAAAGTTTAGAGTCACGTTCCTCGTAAAATTTATGAAGATTGGAAATAGCAAAAACAAAGCCCTTCTTGTTGTGTATTACCATTATCAACTATTTACAGTCCTGACTCAAGGAAGAAAGTTTCCAACAAAAACAACCATTTCTCCATTTACTTACTGGCTTAGTAAAGACTAAAGTGGCTCAACACTTTATTTATTCTATAGCTAAATTCCAAACTCTAAACTATTTATTAAATGCAAATATCTCTCCAAGAAGGGTATCCCAAAAAAAGGATAGACTGGAGCCGAAAGGAAGTTGAGTTGGGTCTCGTCGTCGTCGTTGTCGCCGCCGCCGTTGCCGTCGTCCACGGAGAGAGAGGAACGTTTCAAGAGCAGCAACTCACAAATCTGCCTGTCGCCCTTGTACATCCAATTCAATACAGAACAGAATCCACAGCGATACAACAACGCATTCGTTCGTAATTCACCATTCCTTCATCATCTTGAAGCTTGAAATTGGAAAGTTGGGTGGTTGGGTGGGTGGTTAGGCTTTCTTCTCCTTTCTACTCTCTTAAGCCCCGATAAGTAAGGTCTGTGATGTTGGAGGAAGAATAGACAGCCGAAAGGAGAACTTGCTTATTCAGCAAAGAAAGAAAGTAACTAGTTCCTTAAATTCTACGGCTGGGAAAGATACCCGCCCAACATAATATAACACCGACACGACCGACCTAATCACTTCCACTTGCTTGAACTTTGGACTTGGTCGCTGACGTTCCTTGGCCTTTCCTCTAAATTTTACTAGAATTATACAACCGCCGCCGCCGCTGCCACTACGGCGTCGAAACTGTCACCGAACAAGAAGGAAGTAAATTATACGTATACGGTCGGACTTTGTTTGTTGCTTGGATGTGGAGAATAGTGTGATGAAAATGAAATGGTTTCACACTTTCTTACTCTTTACACCTCCATTTAATGCCTTTCTAATTTCATTTGCCTTCCTCGCTATTTATTCAAGACTTAATTTACAGATTGCCCTCATTTCGTGATAAGCTGGAAATGAAATTGCTTCATCGAAAGTGATGTAACCAGTAGATGTGACTCCACAGCTGCCGAGGAATATAATTTATATTGGTAACTTACCTAGTACATTCAGATGAGCATCGGCGCGAATGGCCTTGTTGCCTTTCCCAGGTCCCACTTGACATTGGTACTCCGTAATATCAGACAGGGTGACATTCTCAATTCTCAAGTTGTGGACCCCTCGATCCGAATCTCCGACGTATGATAGTCGTGGAACGTTGTGCAGGTCTCGGTCGAATCCTGTGACAAACAAACAATTAATTGTATTTAGTACACACACAAATAAATTGGCACTTTACATGCATACAATGTGTATGTAATATTTTATGTATTTACAATCTACAAGAACTTTGGAAAGATTTCTTCCTACGAAATTTGAACAAATTGAACCCCTCTTTTGTCCTAAGACCTCCAATAACTCACGTGCAGGAAGAAAGAGACGGAATCGGAAGCATAACAGAGAATGCAACAACAGAGTGATCCCACACTCTCAATTTCATTTCAGTCTCACTGCTCACGCGAGCAGCGAATTCCCCAAAGACATCGAATATTGAAGGTCGCCTGTCAAGCCCCAAAACAAGGTGGATGGCTCTGATCTCCCGTCTTGTGTGTGAAGAGAAAGTGACTACACACGTGTGAAAACAACACAACCGTTCACCGCTAGAATGAAAGAAACCAATAACGAATCATCAAACAGGTCGCATTCTTTGGAATCCTCCAAAAGAAAACTCGTGAAAGATCCAAAACGTGAGTTTTAAAATATTCACAGCCATCAGGAAAAGGCAAAATAATAAATATCTAACATAAAACAAATGTTTGAATTATAATTTGGTATGCAAGTCCGAGTTGGTTGTAACCTTGTAATAATTTAAAAAAATAGTCACCAGTAAAAAAAAAAGTATTTTATTCATTTTATGGCGTGCAATGCAGCCCTCCTAATCATAATTCATTTCTTCGTACTATAGTAAAATGTCGATCGAGTAGGAATAAAGGTAGCTTCGTATAAATGCTACGTACCGCTTGGGAGTGCATATATCTAGCAAGGAAGGCCATTCAAAATTGCATTTCCACCCTTCTTCCAAATTTGATTTAGGTGACATGACAATATTTACTGAAAATTGTCTTTTTATTACTTTTCCCAGCATAGGATACCAATTTGTGCACAAGGATATAAAAGTTGCCCCACCGGTTTACGAAAACACAGAAGCGAGACTTTCTCCAATGTGTGTACAAGACTTCAGAAGTATAGTACTGGCACATACGTATGTACATATGTATGTCTGCATACCTTTAAAAGTGTTCACATTGATTAAATTACACTGTGAAAAAGTAACTATAAAGGTCAGTAACTTTATGAATATAACTTCATTAAGAACCAAAAAATATGCATAGAGGACGAACTTTGCACATTACCCGATTTTTCAACCATATTTCTAAGCGTTCCATTTTTCCATTAGATTATCTAAACTCCAACCAGCTACATACATACGTAATCTCAAATTAACCCAGCCTGCTAGCAGTAACATGACTAGAGATCACTCACTCGTATGTTAATCAAAATGATTTTGAAGTGGTTCTCTGTTCACCCTCCTCCTGTCTCAACTAATGAAAGTTCGAAGATGAAAACGAGTGCACACTAACGCATTGGGATTCATCAACTCATTTCACTTTGAACCAAGGAAAAAAGGCAAAAGCGTTGGACAAAGCAACGCAAAGAGAAATGAAAATGAGGAAGTGTTTCAGAGTTAAATTCAAAACTTAAAAGTTTCCGAGTTTTAAAAACTACAGGCGCAAGGACGAGTTGTAGCATCTTCATTTCAATGGAAAGTGAGGGTGCAGCAGCAGCAACCAAGGTGGAAAGAAAGGGAATCTGGAACGACGAGATGAAGAATGGTGATAAAAAGTAAAGCAAACATTGCATTTGCATTGAAATTTAAATTCTCTCAAAGAAAAGCAACTTAATGAACCCTTTTTGTTTCGCTTTCTGTATAAATTTTACCAACAGAGTTGGATTAAATAGTTGAACTTGAGGAAGTTATTTTTGATCTGAAAACGGGATAGGATTGTGCTAGCAAGTTCCGCATTGTAACTTTTAATCGTAATATATAGGAAAATGGTTATTGCGAAACTTGTGCGTGATCCTACTTCCAGCAAAATATCTGTATAGTAGTGAAGGGAATTTGGGAATATTCAATTCGGTAATGATTTTTTTTTCAAATCTCCACCTATCGATAAATTCATATTACGTTATAAACTTGCACTTTCCAATCAAACAGCAAGAGCTGCCGGCTGCCCACTTTCTCTTTCCATACTGTCACCAGTCGTGGATGATGAACGATGATGGTGCATCAGACTGAACAAGTCCTTTCATGAATTAATCCACTGCATTCAAAATTCTGCCATGTCTTCCGTCAGCCATCATGTATATCTGTCTGTAATAAGTAACCACTGATTCCGCCATCACCTACAACCACCATGTGAAACAGCTCTACCACCGGTCCCGTTGGGGTTTCCCCCGTTTCCACGCTGTGGCTTCTCGTTACGTGTGCACTAATGGTGGAAAGTTGTGATCATTTCCATCCAACATTTGCTTTTACTCCTCACTCGAGATAAATGGTATGGATATGTTCAAATACTCCAGTCGACTCAACTTATCTTCACATTGTCTGTGGGAGTAAGCCAAACTCATTGCAACTACCACCAACCGAACCGAAAACGAACGATCCTTTTCTCTTTAGCCTCAGATATAAAACATTGATAGAGCAAGTAGCAGAAACACATTGAACTAAAATGTTATCTGCTAGAACTAAAGTTAGTTTGGCAAATATTGCTGCAGTTCAACTCTGTGTACATACGCGCTGATGTTGAAACCGGAAGAGTGGTTGTGGGGAACACGGTGCAGTCAAAATTTTACAAGTTTGAGTGGAAGTAGGGACCAATGGACCGAAAAACACGGTCGTTATTCCTTAATTCACATACGTTTTATTTCCCAACGGATGGGTACTGGCTACAAACTAAAAACTTTCTCTCGACCAAAAATGCTGTAATTTAACTAATGCTCTGAATCCATAATTCTAATCCCACTAATCCTGCTATGGGATTTCCACACAAACGAGAAAATAAATGTTCTATAGACTGATGCCACTTATTCTGAAAATAAAGAATAAACCAAAAATGACAAAAATCCATGGACCAACTTGATCTATGTAAGTAGCTAGCCCGTGATAAGATACATATAACTAAGAATCTATCATTAATCAGTTCGTATAATTTGTACTTGTGAATTTGAAAACTATAAATATATTCATTCGTTACGAATTGCATAATTCATATTGAGTATCTATGTATTGTACATAAAACTAATAACTATGTATGTATCTACGTACGTAAAATATAATTTGTAGCTGGAAGCAACTATCATTTGGCAGCAACAACAGCCTCGTAACCACTATTCATTTCCAACAATGCTACCATGACGTATTTATTCCCGTGTTTCCCATAAACCGAATTCACGGTAAAAGCAAACTTCAGGTCAAGATTAATCACATAATGTTCCTTCGAACTATCTAAAAGTACAACTTCAAACTAAAGCCAACACAAGATAAACGAATGCTAACCAACAACTATGAAACCAAGGAGGCAGCCACAACTAACAACAATCATCCACCACAAACGCCAAGAAGTTCTGTAATAAACACAACTCAAATTTCAAACTTTATTTGGACACTCTTGGGCAACTTTCGAGAAACATACCGCCGACCCCACCACGACCAATACCACACCACGACGATAACCGTTGGGTCCAACTGACACTTGAGTCGGAGATATGTTTACGTACATACGTCTCGCGTGCATCTGCTTGGCCGATGAAATCCTCAAGAGATGATACTCCACTAATCATTTTACCATTTCGTCCTGACAGTGCCTCCCTGCACAATTTAATAGCAATGCACAAGGCGTCAAACCCACAATCAGTAATATTCGTGCAAAAGCTCAAATTCTTGCTTCAGTCATTGGTAGTATTTACTCATCAAAGATCATTATGATTTTATTTATAACCATTAACATAAAAAACATGTAGATATTTAACTAACGCGAAACAAGGATTGACTAATGTTTGTCACATCGCAAAAAGAAGTTACATAAGTTTTTTTTAGAAACCCAAATATACATAAATACATATATAGTGCAAAGATATGCATACATGCACATGTGCAAATATTTATATGCAGTCTACTTTTCCACGAAAAAGGAACGACATTAGTAGAAAGTTTGAAATTAGTTATTAGCTCACAACCAGAGCTTCAGGCTTTATTTATGACATCACGTCCCTGCTTCGTATGAAAGCATAAAATAGAAAATTTATAAGCACGAGAGACATTTTATTGTCTTATGTTTTTGCCTCAAATAATGTAAATGGAAAATACTCCATATTTAGTGTAACACGGACTTCAGAAAGTCACAACCAGGAACTTGTCCCTCTCGTCGCATTAGTAAAATTAATATTAAAAAATGTAATAAAAATTACAGCACTTTTGTCCCCGGCTGTATTTTAATTTAAATTCTAGGCAGTGTGCGACATACCCTTATTTCCTGCAAAACTGATGAGAATAAGTGAGTGAGCTATTTGCATAGTGAATAAGTAAAAGACATGTCTAAAGTTGCCAAGCTCTGGTTCTTTTGTCATGCATTTGCTTCCTTTAAATAAATTGATTTTATCAGAAAGCTCAGAAGCAAGAATCAACTTAACCCGCATAGCGAGCTCAGGAGGACATAAAATCTCCTGCAACTTCATGCACTCAAGTTTCAAAGCCTCCTTTGAAGTGGAATCGATTGTGCGTGATAAGATGAAAGGAATATGCAAAGATGTTCCAACAAGAATTTATATTTACGAATCCAAGATCTACCCAGCATCAAATATGTATATTTTTGTAGTCCTATAAAATTTTGGATTTAACGATCAATTTGTAGAATATTTTGGACCTTACTGATTTGATACTTTGACGAAAAAAAACTAATAATTCTTTCACAGGATTTCGTGTCAAACTGTTTAGTGGTCATTTTTACATTTATTGTGACGTCTCTATTTTAATAACCTATAAAGTCAGCCAGTGTATGGAAAAATACAGATAAGGGACAGACTGCGCATTTATGTACTTACTACGGCGAACTGTCATAAACTATTTTACATCGCATCTTTCCTCTAAGGTCCCTCCCCTCCCAAAAAATGGTTGATTGCA